TAAGGAGCACCTTTTCGATTTTTTAATCATGCCGCGCAGCCGTTTCACAGTGTTTCAAAACGCGACCCTTATGCCGCACATTTCTCCCAGGCAACATGCAGCACGGCATATGGTCCCTTGCTCGCGGAGTTCTTCGGCGTTTTTGAGCTGTTAGGTCTTCGGAAAAAATCCCCTGCGGCTTGTACGCGTGAAATTAGGATATCTATCCTATAGACAGTGGGTAAGTCAACTGGAGTATGCCCACATATGTATTCTGCGATCACGCCACAATCGCTCCTTTCTGTTATAAGCTTTTACACATAAGCGTTATCATACTGATGACGGGAAGATCTTTTTGAAGATCATAAGCACGTGGATTTATTTTGACTTAGATACGATTCGCTCAAGATCATCTCGGCTATATATGCTCACCGCAAAACATTCAACGATTTATGGAGCATTACGATTGTATCATGGAGCAAGAAGCTTTGGGAAAAGGCAATTGCAGGCGACACATAATGGGAGAAGCTGTCCCAGGAAAGGATGAAGTAAGCTAGCAACAACTGTAATCGGCATCGTTCAAACTGGCTAAAATTTTTAGCACAAGTGCCGAGGAGTCAAATCTTACCGCGCTTGTCTCGCTCCCCATCTGAAGAAGAACTGTGGTCTTGCAGCAGTCAAAGAATTCGATGCTAGTGTACTTCAGTTTGGCTGCTCAGTCTAGTCCAAAAACTTCTACCCTAATCGTTCTCGAAGCTCTTTTTATTGTTTTCCCTGTGTATTAGTGACCGTTTGTTTGAAAGTGTTTGTGCGTTGATTGATCTGACTAGGTGCAGTTGGCAAGTTTTGTTCACTCGGCTTACTTATAAACTAATAATACCTACGTGGATAAAACATGGAGTATAGTAGATCCCTTTCCTTATAGACCATTAGCGGCTCGGCGGACTCGAAGAACCTAGATCTACGCGTGAGGTCATCTAGTCACCCGCTATTAACGCATTTTAGCATGCCATTGCGCGTAGCGCGGGACTGCAAATACTGACTAAGATGTTTTGATGGCACGAAACTATAATAATAGAGTTACATCAAGCTGGGTTCATACTAGTCCGTTAGTTCCGGAACAGTTCCACACAGCGCTCGAATTGCACATCTGTGCTGGAACTGTTCCCGGACTTACGGTTCAGTAGGAACCCGACCTCAGTAGCAATGAATTTCATTGTTGGTGAATATGTTTGTTTTTGTGTCTGGAGAAATTATTGTGGGCAACGGTAGTCGTCAGACTTTGCATAATACACACATTTTAGACCAGATCTCCGTAATCGATTCATTGATTGTTGACCATTTCTGAACACATTGAACTTTTGTTAATTCGGAGAGCATGTCGGTGAATGTGAAGAGTGGAGAGGGATTAAAGAGTAATGCCTTCAAAAACTGAACATAGAATTTGTCACACCAAACGCAGATAGTGGTTGGGACTCGGACACCAGCTAGTACCAGCTGAAAATAAACAATTACAAATTACACACAAAATTCAGAAACGTTGTCAAATAATAGATATGTAGCTTGTTTCCAGCGTGCAGTAGATTGTAACCAAATTTGGATTGCATATGTAATATTTCAATGAACAGTAAGTACTATGTTGAAACTTTGGAAACTTATGCAAAGTAACATTTTTAGGTCACTTACAAGGGAAGGACACTCAATCGAAGTGGCGTTCCCCTGGGACATATACACTGTTTTATAGAACATGGATCGCTGAATTCGAATCATCTTCGTTATCTGCAAAGCGCTTTCTGGAGTGAAGTTAAGAAAACTTATTGAAGTTAAAACTTCAACGCGCAGCTACAACGAAATCAGTCAGGACTTGGGCTGTTAGCTCACATGGGGCCATGACCATTGCCAGGGCTTTCGTAAAGCTGATACTTTTCGCCTAAAAATTATGCTACTTATAACTTCAAGCTCCGAAAAATTCCCGGTACTTGTTTTTACCTCAATCAAAACCTCGAGTTTTTGCCTCAAAAAATTTTCATATTTTCCTTCAAGAAGCGCTTTGCAGATAACAAGAGCAGATTTCAAATCAGCGTACCATGTTCTACAAGGCAATGTACTACTCATATGAAAATGCACTTAGACTAAGTATCCTTCTCTTGTTAGTGCTGTAGATTTGGCTTAAAGCATAAATATTGAAAAAGTTCATATAAATTTTGAACTTCTTTGGCTTGAACTCTTTTTTGTTCACGAGTAATTGCCATCATAAAGACCAACTTAGAGCTATTTCTTTTCTATATTTGCTTTCGAAGTGTATGATGGCCTTATTAGTCCATGACTACGACATATGCTTCTTAAGCATTCTGTTCCCTCGATTTTTCATCTCTCGTTTTTGTGGGAATTTTGTAGGAATTCTAGTTGTTTTCTTATATTAGTCCAGTGCAAAAGTTCTTTCCGTTTTTTGGACCAACAGTAAGGATAAACGAATGCTTTGAAAAGCATCTTATGTTGAATATTTTTGATACGATTCTCCCAACGAGCGCTGAGATAATCGCGGAAGTTTACAACCATCCATTTTTACCATGTCTAACTTTTTCAGAACTTTCATTTTAGACTTTTGGATTTGCTTTAACCACCATCTTATAGGACGACCCTTTTGCTTTAATGCACATTTTTGTTTTTGTTTGGCATCCCTTCTAGAAAAGAACATATTCTTTGAAGTGACAAAATTACATATTTGCCTCATTCTAACTTCATAAAACACTAGAATTGAACGATTCAGGTACCAGTCGATGCATCTTCTTCTCCTCTTTCTAACAGCTACCTTTTCTTCTAAAAACATGCGACTTTTGCATTTGAAAGCGCCGTATTTGCGTACTTCGTGGATGCGCAAGGTAGCACCCAAAATTTCAAAATCCATCTTCAAGCGATAATCGCTCATTTACGAAACTCGAAAATTTTTGATATTTTGCAGTGTTTGGTGCAATTA